TCCTCGGGCCCCCCTTGCGCCTCGTTATGACGTGCGGACCTCAGGTGGTTCTTGCGTGTCAGGAGCTGCCCAATCAACTTGCAGGTTTTCCCACTTCCTGTTTTATAACTTGTACATGCTGCATGATACGGAAAAGAGATGCCACCTGTGAGTTTTGCTGTTTTAGTCATTCTCATGACAGTTTTCATGGAAAGGCTAAAAGAATAACTAAAAGAGCTGAGATTGGTAGAATCAGAAGGTTCCAAAGCGGTCATTTGGTTCATCGTCCTGTCTCTGAACAGCCTTGCCAATCACCAGAGCCTGGTTCACTCAGACCACCCTAACCTGGAGCTATGGCCCTGTACTGTGGACATGTGTGCTGGGTACACAGAGGGCATCCATGACCTAGTCTCTGCCCTGGACATCAGAAGCCTAGACAAGAGTTCAGTCAGTGTCTGGCTCCAGTGTACAGGTGGGACAGGCTGCAAGGACAGGTGGGATTGGGGCAGACAGATAGGAAACAAGAGGGCCTTCCAGGCTGGGGGACCGTAGCTGCAGAGGCACAAGGGAAAGAACCACCCTAAAGCGTGTCCAGGAGTCCACACAGAGACCTCAGATGGCTCCTTCAGAGTCAGAGCCTGGCAGGTTCTGCTTTGGGGCCGGGGTGGGGGTGGGGAGGCCAGGGGAGAGAATCGCCCCCAGAGAAAATGGCCTCCCTCTTCATAACCAGTGCCACCTCCTCTTTGGCGTCTCCACCAGCTTTCCCCCAGCTAATTCCTTTTGGTCTTCCAGCCATCAAGGAAGACCCACCACAGGAGAAGCCCACTGACAACCAGATGCTGGCTGAGGTGATCACGGAGCAGGCCAACTTCAGTGTGAGCGCTGCCCGGTCCTCCAAAGTCCTCTACGTCATCACCACCAGCCCCAGCCACCCACCCCAGACTGTACCAGGTAGCCGTTCCCAGACACCATCAAGGGAGTGGGAGCCACAGAGCTTGGCAGCGGCACCCCAGGCAGTTACAGAAATAGGGCACTCTTGAGTGCTCTGTTTTCAAGGCGGCTTGGGGTTCCTGGCTCCATGACTCTGTTTGTCTTGGCCTTGGAGGGACATCTCTTTGGCTTGATTCCTTAGTCCTTAGGTAAAGTGCTCACCTCCTTTAGGACGCTATTTAATAAGCTTATCCAGTGTTTTCCACAGCCAAGTTGTAGCTCACTAAACACAGCAGCAGTTGCCAGAGCTCTTTCCTCAGCCATTGGGCAGATGTGTAAGTGCTTCACTGATGCTCGGCTCTGTCGTAGCTGCTGGACTGTACAGAGAACCACACACAATCCCTGCCCTCCTGCCACTTGTAAGGGGGAGGAGAAAGACAAGAAGCAAAATGAGGAGTCAGATAGTGGCCTGAGCTGTGAAGGTAGGTCCCACAGGAGTAGGCTAGAGAAGGAGCAGTAGTCTTGTGGTCCAAGCTGGGTGACTTATCGGGCACAGACGGTCACTCCCTCTTTTCTGCCAAGGAAATTGCAGTCTTTAAGAGCTGGTAGAGCTGCAGATCCTATTAGTGGTTCCCCGCTTTAAAGGTTTTCCCCTGCAGGACTCGCAGCAGGGAGTCAGGCACGAGAGCCCCTCGCTGTGTGTCCTGTCATTTGTGTATCTGTAGCGTTTCCCAGTTCACACACCCCATTCCTCAGATGAGGGAACCCGGGCCCAGAGAGCCGTCACACGGTGGTCCTAGGGGTGGAGATGGAACGTGTGCCGCCCGTTTTGACTCTTGAGTTGAGTGTGCTTTGGACCACACTGCCTGCCTCTTTCCACAGGGGCGTCAGGAGGTGCTCACAAGGCCTGGGGCTACATGCCAGCCCTGCTCCAGCTGCATGCTGTGGCCGCCCCCACCTGCCGGGAACTCCTCAACCAGCCTGCCCCCCAGCCCCCCGACCCCAGGCTGCCAGGGCTCCCTCAGGGCTCCACACAGACCTCCTCCTGAAAACAGCTCACACCCAGCCCGAAACTCACCCCTTGTGCACACTCACCCCTGTGTTTTACACTTGCAGGATGGACAGTGTATGGCCTAGCAACACTCCTCATCCTCACGGTCACAGCCATCGTAGCAAAGATACTTCTGCACATCACGTTCAGGTGAGTATGGGAGCTGCCTGGCCCCAGGAAGGGAAGGTAGTTTCTACTACGTTTCAGTTGTCTGAAAACACTTGTAACGTCAGAACACAATTCCAAAGCGCTCAACACAGGGCAGTGTACAGCCGTAGACATTCCTCGTTCTCTGTAGAGTGAAATGTCCAGCTGGACAAATCTCACTAAGGTTTGAGGGATTGTGTTTGCTCCCCCGTCTAGAGGATATCATTTCAAGGAGGACTGAAATAGTCCAGGCGTAAAACAGGACAATTTCCATTGTTTTGATTTGTGCTGGCCTCTTGATGAGATTTTTACCTAAGAGCAGAGATTCCTAGGATAATACCAGGTATATTTCCTGATGCCATCTAGAATCTGTGAGACAGTCTTAGGAAGAGAAGTTTTATTAACTACTGTTTAATAATTATTTTTAAGGCAGTTATTTAGGAAGCTTATAATAGCTTCACCCTTCAATTCTGACCAATTTAGGGAAAAAATTTTTTTCCTTCTCTTACTTCCACTATTCAGGTTTAACTGTTCTGCCTTTTAGGAAAGGGGCAGTTGTGCACTTACAGAAGGGCTTGCTAATCTTCCTACCTGTACTCTGTCTTTCCTGTGGTTCCCAGTCCAGGCTCTCTCCATTTCTCTTTTCCTCCAGTTTCATTGAGATACAATTGACATAAAGTCTCTTCATTTCAAGGCCTTCCTGAGCGTTGGTGTAAAAGCTACCTTTTCCCCAACTTTCTGGCTTGTGCTTGATTCAGGGTTTTTGTTTTTTTGTTTTCAGTTGTCCTGGGTCTTCGAATGGGGGCTACTCTTTGTTGCAGTGCGCAGGCTTCTCACTGCAGTGGCTTCTCTCTTTGCGGAGCACAGGGTCTAGGTGTGTGGGCTTCAGTATCTGTGGCACACGGGCTCAGCTGTGGCGGCTCGAGGGTTCAGGCCCACAGGCTCGATGGTTGCGATGCATGGGCTTAGTTGCCCCGAGGCTGCCACAGACTTTCATACGTTAAATGCCGGCTCCTCTATTGCCCTGTAAAGGCTGCCCTTGGCCCCTTTGGCACTGCTCATAGGCCTTGCCATCCTGCACTGTATGTTTTTCAGGGAAAATAATGTCCTTATTACTGTTTACTGAGCTTCTAATATATATAAATATAATATATATGTGTTTTTCTTTCTTTTTTTTGAGTCACAGTTCACACACTCCAGGGAAGCCTCTCAGGCATAGTCCCGTCTGTGTGTCCCCGACAGCAGGGAGGGGCGGGGTGCTCTCTGGGGCCCAGCACCTCACCATGTGCCGAGACCCCAAAGCTCGTGTGCGTCTCGCATCTGACACCCAGTGCCTCTGCACTTTCCCTGCCCAACAGCCCGAGGGGCTGACTCAGGGAGCGGGGCAGATGGGGAGAAAGGCAGGGCCCACTCCCAGCAGAGCAGGTTTGCCTTCATCCTGTTTAGGTAGGTGAGCTTCTGAATAAGTGTCATTCAAAAAGAGTTCGTCTGCTTAAAAAGAGAAGATTTTTTAAAACTCATAAGCTCTCAGGCCAGCCCTTTCCAGATTGGAATAATCCTGCCAGCTAGAAGGTTCTTCATTACTCTGAGCTGGGACCTGCCCCACTGCATTGCCATCTCATGGGATTTGGGTCACCCGCCTGGCGATCCCTCCAGTCTCTAACGGCAGCTACTAGGTTTCCCCAGGCCTCCTCACTGAGTGTCCTGTTCTATAGGTGCAGGTATCTCATGAAATGGTAGGTTGCTTTGGATGCTTAGTTCTGTTCTACTTGAAAAATTAAGATATTTTTGTTTGACAGATCCCATCGCGTTCCTGCCTCGGGGGACCTTAGGGATTGTCATCAACCAGGGACGTCGGGGGAAATTTGGAGCATTTTTTATGAGCCTTCTACTTCGATTTCCATCTTTAAGAAGAAGCTCAAGTGTCAGAGTCAACCAGACGACCGTAATCCTCTTGTGAGTGACTAAGAGTTGCCCCTCCATGCCCAGGACACGAGATCCCTCTGCACTCAGGCCCCTGGGGACCGCCTCTCCTGTGGTTTCCTTCCACCGACTCTTCCCCGCCTCGCCTTTGGCCTCCTCCAGGGCAGCAGCCTTCCGACTGTGTGGGCACCTGACGCAGGGGCCGTTTGGCCTGGATTCAGCCTGCTTCATCACCACACTCAGGAGAGAGACTCAGGTCCCGCTCTGTGCCCCCTGTGTCTCACTCTCGTCTAGGAGCAGGGGGGTTGGGACAACAGGGGCTGAGGTGATGGGGTGATTGTGTCAGGCATGGGGCTCAGGTACATTCTAGACAGCTGTCAGGTAGTGGGTAGGTAGCGCTTCTTCCTGGTTTTGTCCATGCACAGATGGCTTTCTCCTGGTCTTTCTGCTTTGGAACAGGCCAGGCAGAGAGAGTTCTAAGGCTCTCCCGAGGGGTGGCATGGTTCAGTACTCCCGGGCGTTAGCCGCCCCGCGCATGATGTAGGCCCATGCTCTGCGCTGGCTCTGGGCTCTGGGCAAGAATGGGCCTCCTCCAACCTGGAAGGCCATCAGGTCAAACCTGACACCTTCACACGCGGCTACTTTCTGTTGCTTCTTTGTGCAGCTTGGTGACCAGTAGACAGGTTTGAGGGATGGTCATAGGAAATGTCCAGCCGTCTATTCATGCAGCAGACTTCACCGAAAGCTTTTCTAGGTGCTCAGTAACTTCTCATTGGGTTTGCTGGCCTCATCCCTGAGCAGCTTGAGGTTCCCTGGAGCCCAAGCCAAGCCTCATCTGGTGACTCCTAAGCTGCCTCTCTGTTCAGAACAGTGTATATGGCAAAGCATCCAGGCAGCGTCTTGTGACCCCGAGCACCAGCAGTCCCTCCTTTAACTGTCCCTCCTTTTAAAAGAGAATGAGAAATTCCCCATGCCCCTTCTTGTGGGGACAGGATGGGCTTTGGAATGGCTCAGCGGGCAAAGAGAGGGCTCTTGTCCCTGGTCCCACATCCCCTGCACCACCACCCCCCCACCCCGACCCAGAGGGGAGCCTCAGAGAGTGGTGTGCAGAGTGCGGAAGGAGGGCGTGGGAACCAGAGCCCCTCCGGGAGAGGCCTCCGGAGATGGAGAGCTGCAGCTGCAGTGGCTGTGGGTGGTAGAGTCGGTGCCATCCCTCACAGCAGCTGGGAGGAGGGCCCGGGCCCCGTGGGCCGGCCTGGCCTTTCTCAGAGCGAGGCTCCCCTGCAGGCACTCAGGCCTCGTAGGCCTCGGGCCCCACCGCTCCCTGTTTGGGTACTCTGCCCCCCTCCCCCAGCCCCTGGGCTGCTGCTCGCTTGGCCTTCCCTGGGGGTCTGCCACACTGGCAGCCATCTGCGCCCAGCTCCCAGAAAGACAGAGGGCCGCGTGGGGCCGCTGGGAGGTGACCCCAGCGGCCAGAGAGATGCTGGGAGCTGGTGAGGGGGAGAGTTAAGAGTGGGAGACGCAGCAAGCCCACAGGAGGGCGGGGGCACTGCCCCAGGCCCTGGAGGAGGCTTTGATCTGGAAAGGCAGTTCCCCCAGAGCAGCTGTCTGCCGGCCCCCAGGGTCTGGATACAAGCCTGCCACGTGCAAAGACCACTGGGATGTATGACATGTGCAGTCTCCCCTTCAAGCTATTCCTGGCCTTTGTGGAATCTCCTCTCAAACACAAGTGTCAGGTGTGTGCGGTCACTGGTCCCTGAGCAGCTCAGAGGGAATGTGGGATTGCGGCCGGGAGGGCTCCGCCCAACCAGGAGCAGTTGCTCCAAGCCGCAGGCTCCCTCTGATCACTGGCCCCAGTGCATCCTGTGGGCCCACCTGCTGTCGTCACACTTGGTGACTTCAGGTCACGGTGAGTCTGAGCAGCCGGAGTAGCCCTTTCTCAGAGATCCCCAAGGTGCTGGAAGCCCAGTGCTATCCTTCCTGCCACCCTGGGTGCAGCCCAGTGACCCAGGATCCACTTACCATCCCGGGAGCTGCCCTGGAAACCCACACCGGCCTCAGGATGGCACATGGGGAGAGGGTGATAAACTGTCCCAGGCTGAAGTCTGTAAGCCTGACCTGGCCATGGCCTTGGCTGGAACCTGTCAGCCACCTGCCCAGAGGGGCCCCCCGCACCTAAGTAAACACTTGAGACACAAATTGTCCCAGAAGAGGGGAGGTGTTTACACCTAGGAACACCCAAGGGAGCAGCACTTGATCTGCTAAGAAACCACTTAAGAGGTGAGAAAATAGGGATTGGAGGGGACTGGAAAGGGTGACCCTGAGAAAAGCACACGACAGATCACACGGGCTTAGGTAAGAGGAAGCGTAGGGACCCCATGGATCAAAGCATCCCTGCCCTGCGGTGATCGGGTGCCGCTGGGACCCAGGCCCCCACCTCAGCCCACGCCCCACTCTGGCCAGCTAGGGAGCCTGGCCTCTTGGCCCCTGGAGAAGGCTCAGGAGGCTCGTGTTCTTCCCCGAGTGGCCAGTGGCTCACAGAACAGAGAAGAGGAATGAACCCAGGTGCCCGCACATCGGAACAGGGTTGAGGCCCCCCTCTTTCTGGGCCTGAGCGAGGTAACCAGGTTGCTGTAACTTCTGAAGTGTGGGCTCTAGCTCAAGACTCCAGTCAGCCAGAAACCCTCAGAGATCAGAGCACTTGCAGGCGCAGCTGTTCTGGCCCTTCTGCCAAAACCAGGGGGGAGAGGGCGGGGGCCTGCACAGGAAGCACCTGCGGGCCCCCCCTGCCCATTGTCAGCCCCTGGCAGGAGTGGTCAGACCTGCTCCGTGTCCAGCCAGGTCGCCCTGACCCCAGAGTCACCACGCCCCTGTGAGTTCTGGCACTCCGTCTTCCCAAGCACTTGCAGGTGCCTCTGAGGTCGGCCCCTGGCCTGACCGCACCCCGGCCTCCCGTTGAGCCGGGCCGGCCCACAGCCCGCAGCCCCGCACTGCGGCCCTCTTGGTTTCCAGTCTCCCTTGCTGTTTGATGTCTGCTTTTGCTGCCACCTTGGGAATGTTTAACCTTCTGATTGTTTCCTCTGGTGTCTCGTTTACCTTCCTCACTGTTCTACCTCCTGGCTGGGGCTCTCAGCTTAGCCGCCCTGGTGCAGGGTGTTTCTCTTCCAGCCGCAGCTGCCTCCCCTCAGGCTGGCCAGCTCAGGGGGACGGGGCCTCACCCTCAGCCTGCAGACCCCGGGGGGCCCATCTCCCAGGTTCCCGTCTTGCCGAGTTGAACACACTCAACGAGGCAGCAGTGGGGTGTGAGGGAAAGTCCAGGTCAGTCTGCTGCTTTGGAAAGGACGTGTCGCCAGGAGCACATGGTTGGAGTTGGGGGCTGCTGCCACAGGGTCCTCCTGGTGTCAGGACCGCCCACACCCAGACTCACCTTCCCAAGTGGCTCCTGACTCTGGATGATAAGGCTTTACCTGTAAATATGCTCTTAATATGCAACTTTGAGAATAAAATAGAAACATCATGTATTTTAAAATATAAGATGAAGTGTGACGCACTGTATACAATTTAATATATATTTTTAGGATTTTGTTATTTAAGAAAATGGAATGTAATGGTACTTAACTTTTACAAAAGAGAGAAAAATGTTATTTTTACCGTCTGGAGAAAATAAATATTCTCATTGTTGTAGAAACCGCGACAGGCCCAGGGTTGTTGTGTTTATGGGAGGCTCCCAAGCCCATGGGCCGGGACGTTGCTGTGCTAGTGGACCGTGGGCTCACCCCAGGTCCGTGCCTCTGACCCGCAGCCAGTCTCCCACTGGTGAGGTGTGAAGAGTTGGGATCCCACACCCACAGGGCGGCCATGGGCGAGGGCGCCGGACCACAGGTCTGAGGTGGCCTCAGGCCAGTCAGTCCAGTGTCTGCCCCTGTAAGACACCCAGCACCCCGGCTCAGGAGGTCCACATGATCCCCCCGCCTTCCCGAGCAGCTGGCACTTCCTCTCCCCCCCACCCTTCCTCTTTAATAGCAGGGAAGAAGCTTGGGTGTGAGTTGCCCTCTCCTGTGAGGGCTGTGCTCCCCAAAGCCCCTTTCAGCGGGTCCTAAGGAAGCCGAGCGTCAGCCTGTGGGACCCAGCTGTGAGGCTGGGGGTATAGCACAGGGAACCTGTGAAGGATTTCCGTGGAGGAGCGACGTCAGGTTCCCAGTTGAGAAGCATTTCCCACTTGCATCCAGAGAAGTGGTCAGAGTGAGGTTAAACCAAGGGTGAGGAGGCCAGTCAGAGATGCCGAGGGCCTATCCAGGCTCCCAGAGCGGCGCTGTGGTGGGAGGGGAGGGCCTGAGAGAGAGAGCCGGCCGTCTCCACAGGGCCCGGCTCGCCTCCATCCTCCCACTTGCCTCATCACCTTTCAGGTGAGGGCAGTTACAGTACTCAGGTCACCTGGTCGTGATGAGTTGTTGCCTGTGGTATGTTTTCAATAAGCAGTAGCTGCTCCTGTTCCGGAATGCAGCTGGTAGGTGAAGAACAAGGTGCCGCCCAAGTGTCCTGACCCGGCTGCTGAGGAGAGAGAGGCCAGTCTCTGCGGTAAAGGACATAAAAGAGAGGAAACATGCAGAGCTCTGTCGGGCTGAGTCGAGGGAGGTCCCCATGGGATGCGGAGGCCGAACTGTTAGACCCTGGACAGGTGGCCTGAGGCCCAGGGAGGGTCAGGACTGGGGGCTGCAGCCCATGAAAGCAGAGGCACAGCTGACATCCCTGGGGTGTGTCTGGGCAGGAGCAGCTGAGGACAGTGTCGCGGACACAGGCAGATGGGGGGGAGCCTGGGCAGGACTGGGGCAGGGGGCTGGCCAGTGGGCAGCAGCGGGGGCAGCCCCAGAAGCCAAGCTTCCCACCTGCCTGGAGCAGGCTGCTGTTGGTTCTGTAAGCTCCAGGTACAAATCCTCAGGAGGCGATTGGCCTGGCAAAGCCTCCAGCACCACCACCTTAGACGCAGACGTGCTTCTCAGACTGCCGCCTTGACCACTGGCCTGAGAACCCCTGGTGTGCTAGTTCGAAATGCAGGTTTCTGGGCCTTACCCCAGACCCACCAGACTCTCCGGGAAGCCCCTGACTGAAATCTGAACACCATTTTACCTCATTTGAGAAGTTTGGTCAATAGTCACCTTCTCCTCTGAAATGAACTGTCCACTCATAGACAGCGGCCTTAAGTTCCCCTGGCCTCTTCCTTTGCCGTCCACAGAGTACTGGTTCCTCAACTTAGAAGGCTGTATCGCTCCTTCATTCATCGAGGGACAGAGAAGGGCAGGGCATAACAGTCATTCCAGAAGCTTCTCCGGAAGGCGCTGCCTTGACATGGCTGTTTTGCACCCCCCACCCCTCCCCCGACCTCGGCCGGCACCTCAGAGGCCAGTGTCACCTGAGCGTTCGTCTTCTGTGAGCTCTCCTTCTGTCTTTCCCAGAAGCTCTTACCTGGCCCTGAAGGAAAATACTAATATTTTTAATGGCTGTTGGAGAGCAAATGGGATGGCCTTGCTGGTGAACTTCTTAGAGACGGATCCGCCTGCAACAGAAAAATAAACACATGTAGCTAGAATGCAGGCACCTGTCCTGCCTGAAGCAGGGCCAGGAGGAGCCCCCCCGTTCCGGCCCATCTGAGTGGACCCGGGGGACCGCTGACATTGACCTCGTCTCCTTGTTCTGAACCTGCAAGATGGGACACTAAAAGCCACCCACCTGGAAGCTGGCACCAGGGCAGCGTCAGCCTCATCCTCTGTCAGGCAACCAAGGGCCTTCCTCCAGAGACGGAAGGCCTGGACAAGGCCGACCTTGTCCTCAAGCTTGGAGATCACATGACCATCCGCTCTCCCCACGGGGCTGTGCGTGCCTGAAACAGCAGACGGTCTCTGGAACACAGAGAACTGGGACATCTTTGTTCCTCTGTGGCAGGGTCGGGTCCCTGTGGGGGATTGTTTTTGCTTGGCTGAAAGGGGCACTTTGGGGAGAGAACATTTCAACCTCAAGAAGCAGCAACATTTGCTTGTAGCTGGAAGTCTCCCTTCCTGGTCTCCAGCTGTTGTCTGGAGCCACTGGGCCCCTGCTGAATGGGACCACACCCGGCAACTAGGCACAGACAGCACTGGGCTGGCCTGGCTGTGGACCAGCCTGTGTGCGGAGGCCGGTCTCCAGGACAAGCCTGTCGCCGAAGATTCCCTCAGCCCTCTCAGAGGTGGTCACTGGGCCCAGAATCAGCCTGCCCGCTGTGGATGACTGGGCCAGGGAACCAGGCTGCACAGAGAAGCATTTTAGAGGGAAAGCAGATCCAAGCTCGAGGTCCAGAGTAACTCCTCAGGTGGAAAAAAAAAAAAAAAGGAGAATCTGAAACAGCCAAGCTTCTTGCAACAGAGAACCTTCCAATCTCTTATTTCACTCTCAGGAAATGTCTATTATTGTCCCTGTTCAAATGAAGCCACTAAACTTCTAAAAAGGCAGAATTGGGGGCCTGCTGTTTGGCAGACTGACCGTGTGAATATGTCTCATGAACTCACTTTAGTTGCTGGTACCAAAGATAAAGTCAAATCAAGAGCAGTGGGAATTCAAACCTCCTGTTAGCCAGACATGGGGCAGCTTTTCTTGGGCTCCAGGTGAGCTGAGGGAAGCTTCTGAATGTCCAGGGATGCTGATGATGATAATAGTAAGAGTAGGTACCCTTTTGTGGTACCTTGAGTGCCAGACACACTGTGGTCAGCCCTCTGCGTCCTCCTGGGGCCAGCCCAGCCTGGAAGCCGAGGCTTGGCCAGTGGAGGGCAAGGCCGGGATTGAACCCCTGTCTGCTGGCTACAAAGCCAGGGCTCTTGGTTCCTGGTGCTCTGCAAGCCCCTCCCACCTGGGCAGGGGCATGGGTATCTGAGGAGGGCCCCATGGCCTTCCAAAATCTCCCCCAAATATCACCCATGTTGCCTCCAAACAGCCCAGAGAAAAGTACAGATCGGTGCCTGCAATAAGGGAAGGCATCAAACCTATGCTTCTTTACCTGTCTGAGAACACAGACTCCTTCAGGAATCAGATGAATGTCATGAAGCCCCTCCCCAAAAGACCTCGCCTACAAGAAAACAAATTCTCTGGAGATTCAGAGACACCCCCCAAAAACCCTTCCAGGGACTTCAGGTTCATAGTCTGTCCATTAAGCCAAAAGCAAGGGGTACCTGAAAGTTAAAACCAACCAAGAGAAGAAGAATAATGGTAACCGTGGATACCTTTTACTGATGGCTCATCCAGGGTCAGGTGCTCGTGCCAGGGGTTGACCAAGTTTTTCTGCAAAGGGCTAAATGAAAATGAAAGTCACTTAGTCATGTCTGATTCTTTGTGACCCCATGACTGGGGCCTTCCAGGCTCCTCTGTCTGTGGAGTTCTCCAGGTAAGAATACTGGAGTGGAAAGGCATTCCCTTCTCCAGGGGATCTTCTCAACCCAGGGATCAAACCAGGTCTCCTGCATTGCTAAATAGTAACTATTTTACCTTTCCTGGCTCCTACAGTCTCTGATCTCTGTCACATCTCACCTCTGCCTGCGGTGGTTGAGGGCAGCATCCACTGGGACCATGGCCTATCCCCAAGGACCCCCAAGGACCCCAGCACTGCAGTCCTCAAGCCTTGGGTGACTCTGTGAGGGGGTAGGGAATTGGCAGCGGGAGGCGGGCACCAAGGCCCACCCCTCGCAGCCACAGACGATAAACAGAAAGTCCCCTGCACATGAACCTTCAAGTTGCAAGCTTTTAAAGATGCAAATGTGCACGCCAGCCCCTGTATACCAACTATGGTCCTTATACTACTACACTTTTCAAGGTGCTGTCCTGTAAGATAAAATAATATTTTCTTGGGCTTCCCTGGTGGCTCAGTGGTAAAGAATTCACCTGCCAATGCAGGAGACACGGGTTCCGTCCCTGGTCCAGGAAGATCCCACATGCTGCAGGGCAACTAAGGCCATGAGCCACAACTACTGAGCCTGTGCTCTCAAACCCTGGAGCCACAACTACTGAAGCCCACTCACTCTAGACCCCACGCACTGCAACAGGAGAAGCAACCACAATGAGAGGTCCCCACTCTGCAACTAGACAAAAGCCTACACAGCAATGAAGACCCAGCCAAACATAAATAAATAAAATTATTTTTTAAATGTTTTATTTATTTTGTGAGTTTGTTTATGTATGTATTATTTATGTGGGAAGTATTATAAACCTATTACCATACAGTACTATATAACCAGTTGTCTTAGCTGGGTACCTAGGCTAACTTTGTTGGACTTAGGAACACACCCTCAGAACAAAACTCAGTCGTATAAGTAGGAGACTCACTGTATAAACAAATGGCAGGTTATGTGCCAATAAAACTTCATTTATGGACTCTGAAACCTGGATTTTATATAACTGTCACACGTCTTTTGATTCTCCCCTGACAATTAACACATGTTCTTAGCTTGTGGGCCATAGGAGAGCAGGCGGCAAGCCTGCAGGCCAGCCCCTGGTGCCAGGCCAACCACTTCTCATCCATCCTGTTGAACGCGTAAAACGGCTGGA